ATGCAGGACGCAGGTGGACAATGACGGCGACGGCTTTGTGGGCGGCCTCGAGGGCGCAGCCTTCATTCGCCGGGCCAACCTACAGAACGACGCGAACCGCGAGGTGCAAGGCGAAAGACCATGGCCGATGGCGACGTTGGCGTAGGTGTGGCGGCTGGCGAGCGGCGGCAAATCGCAGGACAAGCTCGGGAAGGACTCGTGGTTTGTCGCGATGAAGCTCGTCGCGCTGGTCCAGAGCTGTGGCAAGTGCAAGCTCCAGCTCTTGTACGAAGCGAGTGCGCCACTGCCGCTGCCCGACTTTCACCTCGAGGGCCCACCGGACAATGTGGTACGAGCATCCGAGCGTCCGTCGCGTGCATCGTCGTACCTAGTTGCCATCGCCGCCCGAGGGCCACGAGCGCCATTTCCAGATCAGCGTGAGCAGCCCCACTGTCGTGGGTACAAGCTACAGCCGGTTCACGCAGTACATTGTGTCGACAACCGTATGACGCGTTGAACGCAACATGAAGCTCAAGCGATGCATTAGACTGACAGCCCTCTCTTCCCCATGACGTCGTGCCAAGTGCGCCGGCGGTTTAGCGATTTCGAGTGGCTGCACCAGCGGCTCACACACCGCTTCCGTGGTACCATCATTCCGCCGATCCCGGAGAAGCGCTGGACTGGCAACATGGACGCCACCTTTGTCGAGGAGCGCCGGCAAGCGCTCGAGCACTTTATCGTAATGTCTTCTGCTTGTCTCGAGATGGATAGACAATATGATGCATCGTAGAACGAAGTGTGCAACCACGAAAAGCTCTCCAAGACGTTTGAAGTGCAAATCATGCTCACGGCCAACAACGAGGTACGCGCTGCACTCGACCGCAAAGCCGAACGAGCAGAACTTAGGGCCTCGTCGCCGGCCGGGAGCTCCTCGCCATCCAACCCGCGGTGGCGGCCTACGTGCCAAAAGCCTCGTCGGTCACGGGGTTATGGAGCTCGATGCGCGACTCGCTCTTCGTCTCGGCTGTCCAGCAAGCTGTCGAGATCAAGACCGACCAAGACTACACCAAGGTACTATCGTTCGCTATTGACAATATTGCCATCATATGCTGCTAGATTGGCGAACACATCGACGTGTACCGGAAACGCATTGAAGACGTCGTGCGCTGCTCGGACGTCGTGTACACGGCCCAGCGCGCGGAGGGCTACGAGCTCTCGCGTTGCGGCACGTACTTCTCCAACCTCGCCGTGCAGGAGCGCATGGACGTGGCCACAAGCCAGCTCATGGGCGTACGCCATACCCTTGTAAGCATAGGCTCATCATCGAGCTCCACTAGAGCACGGGCGAGTGCTTTGAGGCCCTCTCACTCGTGTATCAAGACCAGGTACGTCGCTTCTTCTGCCAACGCCAAGCCACTTGGAGCGCTTGTATCGTAGCTGGATGCGGTGCTGGCCAACTACGTCTCCAACATTCGATACCTTGCTGGCAAAGTTGGGGCTGTCAAGGTATCTCTGCTCGTCACGCGCTGCTGTGGACAAGGTGTCGGTGCCTGTGTAGACGGTTCTGAGCAACCGGGAACACGCAATCAAGGAAGTGCACTTGGCGAGCGCGACCATGCACCGCAACAAGGAGCGGTTCGCGGCGGCGCGTGCGAGCAGCGGGGCCGCGGCGTCGGCCATGATTGCCGAGCAGAGAATGGTCTCGGTACGTGCGCCCCACGCGCTCGGACGCTCGACCGGTCGTAGGCCGAAGACCGTATGAACACGGCCAAAGAGCAGGTCGACTTTATCGCATCGAGCCTCAAGGTCGAGACGCAGCGCCTCGACTTGGGCAAAGCCGCCGAGCTCAAGCAGTCGCTTCTCGCGCTCGCAACGACGCACATTGCCTACCACGCCAAGGTCCACTCTCACCAATTTGGCTAGCATCTCATGCCCGAACCCTAGGCGCGCGAATCGTGGGCGGCCTTGCTGCCCGACATTGGCGTCTCGGAGCGCGACGTGGCCGCCAGCGTCGAGCGAACGTCGCGCTCCGTAGTCTTTGCGCGGCCCGGGGCGCCCCGCGCGACAATGTAAACGCAAATGACATCGCTCTGTAAGGTCATGACGCTTCCCCGACTTGCGTGCGTCCTTGCCTGCCTCGCGTTGTGCTGCGCGTCTGCAAGCCTAGACTAGACTGGCATCGCATGACCAGACCAACGCCGCAACCCGATCCCATGACGTGGACGGCGAGTGTCTCGACGGAGCTTCATGGACCGTTGGAAGTGCAGAGCCGAGTTGAAGGTATCCCGACAGCAAGGATACGGCGTGGATTCTCAGCGCCAGTATGCAAAGACAATGTCTACAGTCGTAGTTACGCTGCGTCGTCGTCGTCGCCGTCGGCATTGGTCTTTGTCTCTTCGTCGTCGTCGTCGTCATCGACCAAAATGGCCGTGTCCGTGTCAATGACGTCATCGTCGTCATCGTCTTCGTCGTCATTGATGAGCAGGTCGTCGTCGTCCTGCGCGTTGGCCGCGGCTTCGTCGGCCGCAACGAGCACTTCACCATCCTCAAACTTGAGGCCGTCAAAGATCGAGAGGTCCGACATTGTGAGCACGTTGTACGACTCGATGACCGTGTCCCGGTCCCAGACATCCCGCGTGTAGCGCTGCCAGCCGCGCGGCGTCACGACCGGATCGGTCTACACGCCATAAGACAACTTGTCTGTGTTGCATCGTCTACCTCGGTCGTCGTTTGAAGGAGGTTGCTCAGGTGCTGCTGGATCGCGGCACGCAACACGTTGCCATCGTCGTCGGGCTTGCCAATCTCAAAGTGGCCCTGATACAAACTTGATACAATACGGCCTTGCCACATTCCTACCTTGTACATCTTGCGCAAGTTGTCAAAGGAACGGTGTGTGATGTGGATGCCGGCGGGTGTCATGTGCGGCGTCGGTGTCCACTGTTGGAGGTACGCGTGGACGTCGACGTGGCTCGGGCCAAAGCCGGATGCAATCGGCGACATGAGTGCCCTACACAGTATCTGTATGAGACTATCGCACAGGTGAACGTTGCCTACTTGACACACGAGTGCGTCGCCTTGTAGCGCAAAATGTCGACGTATTTATGCGTCTCGTTGACAAAGCCCCACGACCCGTTCAGCTGCTGGTGCTGGCTCACAAACGTGCGGCAGGTCGCAATCACTTGCTGGTGCGCGGGCGACGTCACCGAGAAGAGCTGCATGCAGTGCAGGGCCGTGCCGAGCTGGTCGTACATGGTTGAATTCATCCATTTCCGGAGCATGTCGGCGTTGAAGAGAAGCTTGTGCTCGAGCGCAAAGAGCGACGGGTGGAACAGCCGGGTTCCGTGGTTGCTCAGGAGGTCCAAGAGCGAGCAAATCATCTTGAGCCTAGTACATCGATACAGTGGCCACGGACCATACCGCAACGGTCGTACTGCTCGCCGTAGAGCGTGTTTTCCTGCACCGAGGCCGGGTTTGTGATGTAGCACTTGCGTAGCACCGGCCAGTGCTGGATCACGTCGACAATGCTGCACCCAATGGACATGCCCACTTGCTCTACATACGCCCACCCTCCATGTATGCCGCATTCTGAGAGATGGCGTCATTACCGGCGTGGTAGACGATCACAAACGTCGACCGAAACCCTTCGTATAGAGACGGAAACGAGCAGAGTCGACCGCACTTGCACTTGACGACCTAAGGACATTGTCAGTGGACTCCTTAAATCGCCCGAAACAAAGTAGACAAGCAAGCACGTACTCGACGGTCATTGCGAATGCCACAGCCGCCACAGAGGTTCGAGTACCGGACGTTGGGCAGCTCCCTTCGCGGGTCCCACCCCAGGAGGTCCACGACCGAGTGCTGTGCGATTTGCACGGCGATGGCCTCGACAAGCGCGTTCGAGACGTTGGCTCGCTTGAGACTAGCGATACATACTGTCAGTTTGAGATGCGAAGGACGTCTACGGACCTGTAGAGACCGACGATGGCGTTGATAAGGTCTTTGGTCGAGAGCTTCTTGGTCACAACGTCCACGAGCTTGTCCCGGAGCCAGCGCTACGTGTGTTCGCAACAACGTAAACAAAAGACAATATTCTCCATACCTGTGTAAACTGAGGAATGTAGTACTCGGCCATGGGCTTGACGGCCGGCGGCGCGTGGACAGCGAGCTCGAGCAGGTGCAGCACCGAGACGTGCCCCACGAGCGAGAAGAGGTCCGGCTTGGACATGACCGAGTGGATGTAGGAAATGCCACGGACCATCTATTTTGCATGAGCGACAGCATGCAGCGTCCACGATACGCACCGCAGCGGTAGTCGGGTCGCTATTCGCGACTGGTTCAAAGGCGGGCGCGGCTTGCGTGAGGCGGCAGCTGCCGCAGAGCTGGTGACCTACACGTCGCCAAGGTCGTTAAATCCGAGAGAACGGGCGGATGCACCGTACCGCCAATGCACTCGGCGTGCACTGTGATCAAGCAGCCCATGCACGGCAAGACTTGGCCGTCGTTGCGGCCGCAGAGCCAGCACGGCTTGACGGTGCTCACGGTCGCGGGCACGGGCTTGACGACGACGGGCGGCGTAGCTGGGTGCGTGAGCCACGAAGGTGCTGTCTTTAGAGCCTCGGCCGACATGGCCGGCACGGTCGTCTCGATGGGCTTGGGGCGCTTGGTCGGGCCACTCTCGTCCAAGGTCGGTCCGGCGCGTTTGGCCGCTACCGGCTCGTCGGCTGTCGTCGGCGTGGCCGCTGGGACAATAGGTTGTACTGAAGATGCTGCATGCATGCCGTTAGTGCTGGTAGCGACCGGCGGCTCTACAGGCGCCTCTCGTGGGGCAGGCGATGCAATCGATGCCACTGCAGCCTGCTCGGGGTGTGTCTCGGGCTGCAGCGGGCGCACCTCATCGTCGACGAGGAAGTCGTCTATCGCGGGGTCTGGCATGTCCCCGAGGCCCTTCATGGGCTCCCCCCGACTCGCTCCTCCCAGCCCATGCTCCATGCTGGCCTCTGTCAGGTTTTGATCCATGGGATCTTGGGTGGTCGGTCATAGAATTCCGATTGTTTTATTCCGCATACAAAACACCATATCATGCTGTCAAATATAATGATGAAAATGCAACGTGCGGATTGGTCCATTAATTCGAGCTCGCCCAATGGCCTTTCTAGAGGAAATCATTTTAGCCAATCTTTGGACTGAAAAGCCCGACTTTGCACCAATCTACGCGTGGCACGCGCGGTGTCATAAGAAAACCGACCGCATGACGCCCAAGTCGCCTCGACCGCAGGTCCACGACGACTCGGACTCGGGCTCGGACGACGAGTTCCTGCGTTTGGCCTCCGCCTCGGCGCGCCGCAAGGCCGGCCTGCCCGCGCGGACGCTCTCCCCGCGCCACAACCTCGAGACCAGGACCGAGAAGAGCACAAAGGCGCTGCGCAATGCGGCGCGCAAGACGACCTTTGTCGTGACGGGCAAGAACGCCGAGCACCGCCGCCTCCAAGCAACCGTCGACGCGCTTGAGGCCAGGGCGCGCAGCGTCACAATTGGTGCGCCAGCGACAGGCAAGACCATTTTCGAGCAAAAGGCCGCCGCCAATGACATCCCCGCGTCCGCTGTTGCGTTCCAGAGCGCGCCGTCCGACGTCCAAGACATGTACAAGGAAGGATACAGCTACATGTCGGACGAGATGTGGAAGGAAGCGTGCGCATCGTGGGAGAAGATCGTCGCGCTCCCGTCGCCGCCATCGCTCGACTGGTTCTTGCCGCTTCTCGCGCAGCTTGCATTTGCCTACAAGAAGCAGGGGTATCTCCGCATGGCGCTCAAGTGCTACCACCGCATTCGCGGCGACATCCAACGCGCGGGCGACGGCCACGACGACTTCTTGGCCGACACGCTGCACCAAATGTCGGCCATCTACCACGAACTCGGGGACATGGAGCATGCATTGGCGTACACGGACGAGGCGAATGCACTCCTCCTCGACCTCGTCGGCAAGAGCTGCGAGACGCCGGCCGAGAAGGCGCGCGTCGACGAGCTGCACCAAAGCCGGCAGCTCGGGCGGCTGCTGCAGGACGCGGCGACCGGTGAGTTTGCCAGCGTCCACGCCGCCCTCGAGGCCGGCGATGTCTCAATCGAGACACTCGCAGCCTTTGTCGACCCCACGACGCACGCGACGTTCCTCATGGCGTCGGCCGGCGCCGGCAGCCTCCACCTCGTCTCGGCGCTGCGGAATGCGATCGATACGCCAGCGGCGTGGAAGGCCTTCGTCGAGCGCAGTGACGCACACGGCAACTCGGCGCTCGCGTGGGCGTGCAAGTTTGGCCAAGTCGATGTCGTCGCGTACCTCTTGGAATCGGGCGCGTCGTTCCAGTCGCTCAAGAAGGAAGAGCTCAAGCGCTGGCCCAAAGCAAGCCTGGCAACGATTCAAGCCCACCTCGCGGCGCGCAAGCAGCACAAGGAAGCGGCACAGCAAGCACCGCCATCGGTGGTACCGGCCGCGCCGCTGTACAAGCCGCTCGTGCCCATATCGCCCAAGGCCGTGCCCGCCAAGCCGCTTGAGCTCGCACCGTTTGACGTGGCCCCGATGCCAGCGTCCTTCAACGCTGCACCTCGCAGTGCGGCGGCTGCCTCGGGTGCGCTGGCGGGGCGCGACCTCGAGGCGTGGCAGCCCGACGACGACGCGATCGCGAGCGTCACCGGCGACCTCGAAGCGACAAATGCCACGACGTGGGACCAGTTTGAAGCCAACGAACGCCTCTTTGGTGTCACGTCGGGCTACGACGAGTCGCTGTATACGACGGCGCGGACGGCGGGGACGCCGGCGCAGGAGGCTGCCGCTGCGCGTCTCGCCGCCGAAATCATGGGCCAGCGCAGTAGTAATACGCATGTCATGGAAGAGCGTGGTGTTGTCGACGCGGCCGGTCATGACCCGGAAGCGCGGTACGGCGCGGTGCTCGGCAGCGGCGCATACGCCTCGCCGACCGCCGGTCGTCGCCGGGATAACGACGATCGGTTCACAGACCGCGCAGTTTTGAATCAATCGCCACAAGATTAAGCACGACAATATGTACATCAACACGGACACCTTGTCTAGTACATTCGTATACAGCTCGTCGATTCATGGTCGTTGTGTGCAGCGTACAAGCGTACACGTCGCAGCAAGCACACGCTGGGTGCTTCAACAAAGCCAAGATCGCGTCGCACGCCAAGTGGCCAATCAGCGCCCATGGTCACTTTGCACTTATGCACGCGAGTGAGCACGTCGACGTCAGCGAGGCGCGCATCCTGGCAAGCCTCGTGGGTCACCGCCGCAAGGGCCACGCCAAGACGCTGGCGCTGTGCGAAGCCTCGTTCGAGGTGCTGCCCGACCTTCCAGACGCGCTTCGTGTTGGCCTCTTTGCATCGCCCAAGACGTACTCGGCGTACGTCCGCTTGTCAAATGCGTCGCCTGTCGTGCAGCCTGACGACGTCAAGGACGTGCGTGGCCTGTCCATCAAGCTGCTGCACGTGCCTGGCGACAAGATTCCCGAGTCGACCGAGCCCCGTAGCCAGGACTTTTTGCTCGTGAGCAGCCCATCGGTGGCTCTTGGCACGGCCAAGCTCCTCCGCGACAGCCTGCGCGACTCGCCGGCGGTCTTCAAGACCAAGATGGTCGTCAAAGGCAAGTGGCGCCGCCTCAAGGCGCTGTCGAAACCCCGCATTGTGCCGTCGTCGCTGCTCAACATTCCGTTCTACAGCGCGCTGCCGTTCGCGTTTGGCGAGGCCATGGTAGTAGAGACGAGAACCATTGGATTTGCTTACGAAATGGTACATTTAGGCGGTCAAGTATGTGCTGATGCCGACGCGAACAGCGCCTGTGCCCCGCGTCAAGCCCGT